AGGAAGTAGAACATTACTAAGCAAATACAAAATTAAATCAACTACCAACAAAGTCAAGGGATACATAAAGAGTACAGAATATGCACCAAATATGTAAAGAGTGGAGGAGGAAGAAAAAAAGGGAGAAAAAGAAAAGAACCTTTAGATTGAGTTTGAAACAACATAATAAGTGAGTTAAGTCAGACTGTTAGAAGGTAAAAAAAACTGCCCCTGAATCTTTGATAACCACAAATCTAAAGGCTGCAATGGGAGTAAATACATATCTGTCGATAACCACCCTAAATGTAAATGAACTGAATGCACCAATCAAAGGACACAGAGTTACAGAATGGATAAAAAAATTAGACCCATCCATATGCTGCCTACAAGAGACTCACTTCAAGCCAATAAACATACACAGACTAAAAGTGCAGGAATGGAAAAGATATATCATGCAACTAACAAGGAGAAAATAGCAGGAGTTGCAGTACTTGTATGAGACAAAATAGACTTCAAAATAAAGAACATAACAAGAGACAAAGAAGGACATGACATAATGATAAAGAGGTCAGTCCAACAAGAAGATATAACCATTATAAATATCTATGCACCCAACATAGGAGCACCCAAATATGTGAAACAAATACCAGCAGAATGAAAGGGGGAAATAGAATACAAAGTATTCATTTTAGGAGACTTCAACACACCAGTCACTCCAAAGGATAGGTCAACCAGACAGAAAATAGGTAAGGAGACTAGCACTGAACAACACATTAGAACAGATGGACCTAACAGACATTTTCAGAACATGCCACCTAAAAGCAGCAGGATACACATTCTTCTCAAGTGCACATGGAACATTTTCCAGAAGAGATTACATATTGAGCCACAAAAAGAGCCTCAGTAAATTCAGAAGAATTGAAACTGTACCAACCAGTTTCTCAGCCCACAAAGGTATGAAACTAGAAATTAATTATACAAAGAAAATGAAAAAGTCCACAAACATATGGAGGCTTAACAACATGCTCCTAAACAATCAATGGATCAATGACCAAATAAAAACAGAGATCAAGCAATATATGGAGACAAATGACAACAATAACTCAACACTGCAAAATATGTAGGATGCAGCAAAGACCATGCTAAGAGGGAAGTATACTGCACAAAGAAATAAATGGCGTCTAAATTGGTAAGAAAGAAGTTAAACTGTCATTGTTTGCAGATGATACGATATTGTACATAAAAAACCCTAAAGAATCCACTCCAAAACAACTAGAATAACTGAATTCAGGAAACTTGTAGAGTACAAAATTAATACACATAAATCTGTTGCATTCCTATATACTAACAATGAACTAGCATAAAGAGAAATCAGGAAAACAATTCCATTCATAATTGCTTCAGAAAGAATAAAAAACCTAGGAATAAACCTAACCAAGGAGGTGCAAGACCTATACCCAGATAATAACTACAAGACACTCACGAGAGAACTGAAGAAGAAAGACACCAATAAATGGAAATACATCTCCTGCTCATGAATAGGAAGAATTAATATCGTCAAAATGGCCACCCTGCCTAAATCAATCTACACATTCAGTGCAATCCCTGTCAAAATATCAGCAGCATTCTTCAACAAACTAGAACAAGTAGTTCTAAAATTCATATGGAAGCATAAAAGACTCTGAATAGCCAAAGCAATTCTGAGAAGGAAGAATAAAGCTGGGGGATTATGCTCCCCAACTTTAAGCTCTATTACAAAGCCACAGTATTCAAGGCAATTTGCTACTGGCCTAAGAGCAGACCCATAGATCACTGGAATAGAATAGACAGCCCAGCTATAAAGCCACAAATATATGGCCAATTAATATGTGATAAAGTAGCCATGGATATACAATGAGGAAATGACATTCTCTTCAACAGCTGGTGTTGGCAAATCTGGACAGATCCACGTAACAGAATGAAACTGGATTACATCTAATGCCATACACAAAAGTAAACTCAAAATGGATCAAAGACCTGAATGTAAGTCATGAAACCATAAAACTCTTAGAAGAAAACATATAAAAAATCTCTTGAATATAAACATGAGCAACTTTTTCCTGAATGCTCCTCCTCAGGCAAGTGAAACAAAAGCAAAAATGAACAAATCGGACTACGTCAAACTGAAAAGCTTCTTTACAGCAAAGGACACCAATCAGTAAAACAAAAAGGTATCCTACAGTATGGGAGAATATATTCGTAAATGATATCTGATAAGGGGTTAACATCCAAAATATATAGACTTCACATGCTTCTACACCCAGAAAGCAAATAACTTGATTAAAAAATAGGAGCAGGATCTAAAAAGACACTTCTCTGAAGAGGAAATTCAGATGGCCAACAGGCACATGAAAAGATGCTCCACATTGTTAATTATCAAGGAAATGCAAATTAAAATCACAATGAGGTATCACCTCACACCAGCTGATGGCCAGCATCCAAAAGATAAGGAACAACAAATGCTAGAGAGGAGGCAGAGAAAGGGGAACCCTTCTACATTGCTGGTGGGAATGTAAATTAATTCACCCATTGTGGAAAGCAATATGGAGGTTTCTCAAAAAACTAAACATAAAAATACCATTTGACCCAGGAATTCCACTCCTGGGAATTTAGCCAAAGAAAACAAGATCATAGACTCAAAAAGACATATGTACCCCTATATTTATCATGGTACTATTTATAATAGCCAAGATATGGAAGCCACCTAAGTTCCATCAATAAGTAAATGGATAAAGATGATGTACATATACACAATGGCATATTGTTCAGTCATAAGAAGAAAACAGATCCTACTATTTGCCAGAACATGGATGGAGCTAGAGGGTATTATGCTTAGTGAAATAAGCCAGACAGAGAAAGAAAAGTACCAAATGATTTCCCTCATTTGTGGAGTATAACCACAAAGCAAAACTGAAGGAACAAAACAGCAGCAGACTCACAGAACCCAAGAAGGGACTAGGGGTTACAAACAGAAGAGGGTTGGGAGGGTGGGTGTGGAAGGAGGGATAAGGGGATTAAGGAGTATTTTGATTAGCACACATAATATAGGGAGGGTGTCACCGGGAAGGCAATATAGCATAGAGAAAACAAGTAGTGACTCTATAGCATCTTGCTACACTGATGGACAGTGACAGCAATGGGATGTGGAGGGGGGACTTGATAATATGGATGAACATAGTAACCACATTTTTGCTCATGTGAAACCTTCATAAGATTATATGTCAATGATACCTTAATAAAAAAATAAATAAATAAAATAAAAAAAATTCTACATGCCACTACACAGAAAATTCTTATGATTAAACATGCATCTACAGTCTATGAGGTAAATATTTAAGAGTTCTGAATTAAAAATAAAAACAGAAATAAGTATGTATTTGAGCACTTTATACCATTCACTGTAAGAATCGCTTTACATAATTGCAACTTAAAGGTAAGAATTGTATCCTATCTTTTTAAATCCTCGATATTAGTAAGTATCTGAAAAACATAAGGTTCTCAATAAAGGATTTTAATAAATGAATAAATGAATGACAGCATCCGTTAAGCTTCTCAAAATTACTGAGAAATTTACTAGTTTTTCCTCTTGTTCATCGTACATTTATACTTATTGTTCTCCTAATACAAGTTACATACACGCTGTCAAGGAACTAGAACGCTCTTCATACCTTCAGTTGTTGGAAATACTTCTTCTCCTTCAGTTTTAGTCTCTGCGAGTTTCCCAGTTCTCAGCAATACTTCTGCAAAGCTTTCTGCTGGGACATTCTGACAGGTGTTACAGGTTACTTTAGGCTAGATAAAAGCAGCAGCTGCACCATTTAGTAAGCTACCTTTTTTTTCTATGAAGATACTCTTAACAATTATAGGAGTTTATATTTTATGGTGGTAAACTTCTGATTTACTAAAGCATATTGTGTTTTATGTAAAATTTTAAACAGATTTTAATCTCATAATATGTTGTAATATGAAAGAAATCACATAAAACCAATAAACATGAGTGAAAATGAAGCCAAAGAAGTACATTTTCAGGGAAATATGTTTTGTTTACCCTAAAATGCCCACAACAGCATGACAGCTAAGTCTATTTTGGAGGCCTGCTGTTCCTTACCTCTGTGACAAAGGGATCAGAGAGCACAGATTCATAAAAAGGATGACAGCCTTGTTTTTCTAGATCTTCATTGGCTATGGTTCCAATTCGATAAGCACCACCAAATTCTTGCCCCTAATTAGAACAAAGTAAAGAGCAGTGGATAAAAAAGAGAGCAGGCGGGGGGAAGCATGGGTTTCAGGAGAAACTCATCAACGTGCATTGTGTCATCTAAAGACAGTGTGTCCAAGTGACAGACACCCAGCAGAAAACCTGAGAATAAGTGCTGTATGAGCAGCACTTCAACCTCACCTCACCTGCAATGGCTTTTGATCTTCCTGGTCACACTGACATCAATGACTCAGAAATACTGAAGCAACTGGTGTTATACACATGGTGAGTTTCCTATCTATACTGCAGTCAGAGTAGCCGTCCTAAAACATCATTTTGCACATATTGCTCCCCTGCTCACAAAACCTTTCATAGCTTTGAACAATGCAAAGACCTAATAGTATCAAGTCTAAACTGTAAAATAACATGTAAAGCTATTAAATGTCAAAAAACGCTACAGACCACCTCTTCACCCTAACCAAAGCAATCTACTTTACGCATCTTACTGGCCTCTGTGCCTTTCTTCCACTGTGAAGGTCCTGTCCATGCTGACTGCCTAGTGAGATCCCACCTCTCCTTCCAGGCCCACCTCAGACCTCGCCTGCTGAAACCTTACCAGATTAAGAACATAGAATTGTGTCCCTTCCATTACCCCCACCTCCTCCAGAACCACAATTCATAGGAATGTCTGAATGACTCATCATCAGCATTCCTCCGAAGCAAGTACTTGTATCCCTAGGATGGGTAATTATCTTTGTTTGCTTTCCTCAAATAGATTATAAAGCTCCTTTAAGCGTGAACCAAGTAAATGATATTCATCCATTCCTCCAAAGTTTACTGAGCACTTACTTTATGCTGAGTACAAGCTAGGGAAACAATGAAGCTGCTGCTGCAAATGACAATAAATTACAACTCTTCTTAACAAAAACTATATACATATTAGGCACAGGGTTAAACACTTTATCTAAGACCTACACCCTGAACAAGTTCAACAGGTAAATCAGAAAAGTGACCACAATCATAACCCAGAGTGACACGTGCAACAATAAGAGAGGTACAGACTTACTCCCCAGTCAAGCACGTAGCATCCAAGTCATCGGTATCTTCACTGACTCAACTATCTTCATCTGCTTATCTCATCCTTAGTTCTCCTCTTTGCTGCACATTCCACATCCAGACATCAGCAGGTCCACAAAATGCATCTCCAAACCAACCACCTCCCGCTTCCTTTGAGGCTGTCCTAGTGCAAACCACCAGCCTTCCACCCGGAGTGCTGGAGTAGAGCTCACTCTGCTTTTACTCCTGACTCACTCCAGCCCTCTACACAGCAGTTAAATGATCCGACTAAAAGTAAAGCTGGACCACCCAACTGCACTGCCTACATCCTCTGGTAGCTTTCCATTTTACTCAGAATAAAACCTACGGTCCTCATCACGATCTAGATAAAATTCAGTACGGCTGGCCTCTTCACCACGTCTCTGATCTTAGCCCACTGTTCACTCTGCTCACACCACATCAGCCTCCTTTGTGTTCTACCAAGACGTCCAGCCCCTCCCCTTGCAAAGGGCTTTGCACTTGTTCTATTCGTCTCAATTTGTTTTCTGTTCAAAGGGATTCCTCTTGTGAGAAACTAACTTCCGCATCTAAATCAGAACTTACTGCCCCCAGTATCACTCCCCATCCCCTCACACTGAGTCGTCTTCACAGTGCTCATTTTCACCTGCCTGGAGTAACCGTACAAATACTTCATGTGCTGGGTTCCTTTTCTCCCCCACTGAAATACAGGTTCCACAGGGGAAGGAATTAGACTGAAGTGCTTTGCCATTCTATTCTCAGTGACTGGTACAGTATCTGACACACAGAAAATATGGTAAATATCTGCAGAATGAATGAATGAATGAGAGCGACACCCAGTGAGTGTATTGGGTAATCTTATAAACACACCCCTCTTTGTTCTCCAGTGTCAGACTGAAGAACCATGGCTTGATAATGCCGAGAAGATACCAGGGGAACGAGGGTCAAAGTTTCCCAGAAAGGAAGCTCAATTACACTCATGCTCGTCCTGACCTCTACTTATAGGATCAAAGAATCTGTTAAATTTTTCTCTTTACCCAGAGCCCCTATTGAAGACTTGTGCCATCCCCAACCCCAACTCCCCATCCCAATACTCATATGTTGAAATTCTAAGCTCCAGTGGATGATATGGGCCCTTCAGTAGGTGATGAGACGTGGAGGCAGAGCCCACATGAATAGGATTAGCTTCCTTAGGGCCTCCTCTGCCAAGTGAGAAAAACAAGATGGCTGTCTATAAACCAGAAAGCAGACCCTCCCAGACACACTGAATCTGAGGGTACCTTTATCTTGGACTTCCCAGCCTCCTGAATGGTAAGAAATAAATGTTTAAATGTTTAAGCCACCCAAGTCTATAGTATTTTTGTTAAAGCAATCTGGAAAAATTTAACCCCCACACTGGCATCTAGCCCTTTTCCTTGACTACTGGCCTGTAGAAATACAGCAAAAGCGAAAGCATTGATATAACCATAATACAAACTTCAGTTATGACACAGAAACCAAACTGTCTAAATCTATTATCCGTGTTCTTTCCAAGTACTCCATAGTAATATACTACATTCTATAAATAATTTCCTATCTGATGGGAGGTCTAGATTTCTTAAAAGATTATTTTAGTAATCTAGAGAAGACAAAGCTGTTAACAAGTCAAAACAACTGAAAAGCAGTGCCAATGAACTGGTGTAACTGTTCATCGATTTTACAGAGAGAGAGGCATTGCTTACTTGCAGGGGTCGAAGGTAAGTCAAAGACGTCTTCCACCACTGACCGTCCGTGACAGCGTGCAGCACAGCCCTGGTGGTGGTCGTGGTGCTCGACAGCACTTTCATGGTTGTAGCGGTGGTCCAGCGGAACAGGTCAGCTGAGCTTCGGCCCGGAACACTTCCTTCCTATGTTTTAAAAGAAAATAACCTATGTTATTTTAACCCTATGTTAAAAAAGAAAATGGCAAGAGTTAAAATGTGCATTGTCCTAGGAACAGAGAGTAAAAATGTGACTACTTGAAATGATCAGACCTGAAGACAAATAAATTTAAAAATCCATCTTGGCTTATAACAGATAAATGTAAAGCAAAGTATTATGGGCATATTGCATCTCCTCGAATCATTTACAGAAGAAAATCTGGTAACGGAGAAAACATCACTGTGCATTAGTCAAATACTCCCTTTCAGAAACATTTATGTGGTAAATAATGGGTTCTTAATTTTCTACCAATGTAATACCTTACCAATGAGAAACTCATGTTTGTTTCTTTGACAAGACTTTTAAAGATTTATTATTTAAATTAAGAAATAAATTATTGATTTGAACAGTGCTACTGTGACCTAGACAAAGGTAGAGAATCCAGATGATCCACCCATAAATGTTGAAAAGTATTTTGTTTTTCATCTAAAAAAGTGGAGGATTAAATAACATTTAGGTTTATAACATAGAAACCTCCTTGCTGATCTTTAGGCAATCAGCTAAATCCTAACTCTACATTTACTAATTTGATAACACCACGTGGAGAAACATGCCAATACATCAACATTCTTTTAAACAGAAATGACAGCAACCACAATTGCTTTTGGTCAAAGAAAAATACTTGTTCTACAAAAATAAAGTCCTTGGTTTAGTGTCTGCCTGATTATTCCTAATCGTCTATCCAGTTAAATGAAAGAAACACTAAGGTCTTGTCTTCTAATTTCAAGAGCTTTCTTGCTACTAGAAGAATTGCTTAATTTGACTATTTAGGTCTACAACACAACATTCATAAACACAATATTTAAGTAATAAAAAAATGATAAATCATGTAACAAATACTTAGGATATTTGTTACTCAGCAATTACCATGACATCATCATATAACAAATACTTAGGATAAATGCACTGTTTTAGACCAACCTGACAATTGCCATATGTAGTAGGTAGAATTATGCACCCATTAAAGACATCCATGTCCTATTCCCTGGAACTTGTGGATATGTTACATTACATGGCAATTGGGCTTTGCAGATGTGATTGCAGACCTGGAGGTGAGATTACCTTGAATTATGAGTGGGACTAACCTAACATAAAGCAGAGAACATATCCCAGCTAGGATCAGAGAGAATTAGAAAGATGCCGTGGGGGAAGGGGTAGGACAGATCTGAGGAATGAGGGGACCAGCCCATTGTTGCAGTCTTTGAAGATGGAAGAAGGGGCCACAAGCCAGGGAATGTGGGTGACATCCTGAAGTTGAGAAAAGCCCTTAGGTGACAATCTAGCAAGGCACTGAGGACCTCAGTCCTACAACCACAAGGGATTAAGTTCTGTCAATATGAATAAGCATGGAAACAAACTATCCCTCAAGAGCCTTCAGAGAAGAACACAGCCCTGTAGGCACTTGGTTTTGGCCATGTGAGAATAAGCAGGGACCCATCCAAGTCTGCCCAATTTCTGTCCTTTGGGAATTATAAAATGATCCATCTGCACTGTTTTAAACTGTCAAATTTGTGGTAGTATTTTTTAGCAACAATAGAAAACAAAAACATGTTAGGATACTGAATTTCTAGAAAACCATTGTGAATGTGTTCTTGCTTCTATAGGGAAATGTATTTAAACTATATTAACCAATGCTTACAATTTACTCAGTTTGCTTAGGGTTTCCCATTTAAACATGTGAGTAAATGTGTCTTAACCCTAAAAGAAATGGTAATTGCGTGACACAATAGAGGTGCTAATGCCGCTAAGGCAACCCAGCCTCGATCTAGCAAGCCACGTTGCACAGCTTAAATTTACACAAGGTAGTATATGTCAAACATATCTAAAAAATAAAAAAAAGTTTTAGAAATTGTGCTTCCTGTGGGATTTTGGGCCATTGGCAAAAAATACAAACAGTACAATATTATACATACTATAATTATGAAAGTAATAATTTTTAGAAAAAAGTGAATGATATTTTAACCAAAGAAAAAAAATCATGTAAAATTGCCATTATACTTACAAGGGCAACCAGGCTAACAATAACTGTTTGGGATGTAGGTGCCAATAAAAACCAGCACTTCTCCTGAGTTCCAGACTGTGGCAGATGCTACAGGGGGGCTCACTACACTCCATGCTGACCCCCTTACAGACAGACGGTCTCAACTCTCGCTACAAGTTGTAAAGTTAAAAACTACACCTCCCAGACTCCAGATAGTTGGCTTTCCACACAGATCCTGGTTTTCATCAAATGAATGCACGAAAAGGATCTGGGGGGTAGAACTACAGTAGAGACCATCCTTCTGGTATTTCCGCAATTTTCTAAGGGCAAGCAATAAATTTAACTCTCTCCTCCTTCTTTCCTTCTCTCTCCCCTCTGACCTTCCCCATCTCTACCTTTTTATAGTCCTAGTTGCCTTTTTGCAGCAGTGACAAAAGAACAAAAGTTCTGCAATAGTGTAGATACTCTTAGAAATACACCTAAAGCCTGCTCTTCCAGTCCTTTCAGTAATTTTCTAAGTTCCCCATTTAAAAAAATCCCCCTCTGCTAATAATAGAATGTTTTCTGTTACAACTGAACTGTGAATGATTTTTTAAAATTAATAAAAACTATAAGCAGGAATCAGATCAGCAGTATCATCTTATTCTGGAGTGGAAAACACGGCTTAAACCTCCAGTCATAATCAGGATAAAAATCTTCCTGCTAGTCTACCTCTTGAAATAACTTCTCCCAGGCCGAGTTGAGTCTACAGAGCAGACACATCTAACAAAAATCACCCTATCAGCACGGCACTGGGAAACTGAGTGGAACAAACTTCCAGAACTGCCCTGAACCTGTACTGTCTTACATGGTAGCCATCAGTCATGTAGGCTACTGCACACTGGAATGTGGCTATTCCAAACTGAGAGGTGCTATAAAAGTAAACATGATGGATTTTTAAACACTTGGTGCCAAACATAATAAATGAACAAAATGACCCACATGTGCTTCGTCTCCACCAACAAAGGCTACAGCAGAATGCACCCTTTCTATTGACAGACATAACCAAGAGGGAACCTAGCGGGCTAAGCCTTTCATTCTCAGTTCCTTCTCTCGATTTCAGCAGTTATGCACCCTCCCTTCTCAGTGTGTTTTAAGGGGCATGGGGTGGTGGGAGGGGACAGAATGAAAGATCACTAACTACTACTTCTGAAAAGACAAGGTAGAAAGCCCTACAGGGGAGAAAAACAATTCTCCCTTCAAGATAAATAATGATGACAGCTGCCGCATCTTGAATGCTTGCTATGTGGCAGGAGTTCACCAAGTGCTTTCTACGTATACTGTGTGCAAAAACTGAAAGGGATCACAAAAAACAAAAACTGTTGTTTTAAAGGTAGTATTACTAAAATTCTTTGCTTTCCTTAATTTCTTTGCTATTTGAGGAATGGCAGTGGGGCCTCATTTCTTCTCTACTTCAATAACATACACAGCTGACTCATCATGTCTGACTCCACTCAACAGGACAGCACCAAGCCGATTGCAGCTCCCACACTCTAGAAGCCTCTCCTTTCCAGTAAGGCTACCACCGCGGTGGCCAAGGAGCTTTTGATGTTACACAGCGGTGCAGATGTCACCTTCAACTCTTGCGTTATGGGGGTAGTGCCTCTTTCTGTCGGACTGCTCATCACTGTGCAGGTAACCCACATTCCCCCGCTCCCCCTGGGGGATGAGCAGCACCCAAGGACTTTAATTCACAAAGAACACCACCATCAGATGTGTTTTAGAAATATTATTCCTGGCACTGAAATCCAGTCAGGTGATTGGTGCACCAGTCCAAGCTTAGAACAATCGGGAACTGAAATTAAGACACGGATGCTAGCAATACATGAGGTTACCATATAGAATTCTTCCACCTGAATAATCTATTAAATACAAATGTTTTTATTCTTAATTCTTCTAAAGATGAAAGGGCCTGGGGTAGGTCGGATAAGGAGAGAAACTCAGATTCTGAATCCAACCATCTAAGAAAGAGTTCATGGTCACCAAGCTGGATCTTAGTGAAGAACTAAAGACACAAACACACACACGAACGAACACAAGCAAACTTTAATGGTCTGCTAAGCAAGGTGAGGTGAGATGCAGTGCAACTGAAAATGAGCAATACAAAGTGCTGAGGAAAAACAGAGGACCAGGTTCACAAAGAGGAATAAGAAAGATCTACACGTTACTTACAAGAGTATCACCTAGGAGTCTTGTTTACAATTTACAATAATCCTAATGGCTAGCATTTATTAAAAGCCAACAAATATAAATTTCTTATGTGAAGTGTGTCTCAGACATGAGCTAGCTACTTCAGATGGTCACCCCTGTGCTTTACAACAGCCCTGCAGAGCAAGTATCAGAACACACTGGCCACAGAAGTAGAGCACACATCAAACAAGTGAGGTGTGCTTCCCACGGTCAGCTGGGCTGGGGGGTGTCTCCTCTCTTCTTACCCAGGTCTGGCTATCAAAATGCACAGGCCATTTGTTATCTTCAGGGTTTGGACATAAGTATCTCTCTCTCTCTCTCTCTCTCTCTCTCTCTCTCTCTC